CCAGTTCATGCCTGAATCCACAGTACAGCTTCATACTGTTCAGGGGCGGTGGTTCTGGGTTCTTGGTACAAGCTCTGTCCACATGTTACAGTGTGCTTAACAAAGATACTGAACCTAATGTCACGTTATAGCATAATGCACATATACAAGGTGGGCCACAGAAAAGTATCCCGCCTCCACTCTTGGGTACAAGGGCTACTTTTCTGTGGCCCACCCCGTATATGGTCCTATAAGAAACTAAATGACCAAATGTATGTCATAGTATGACAGCAAATGTTCAAAGCACATCCCTGTTGATAAAATACATTAACCCTGAACAAAGTAAGTGAGGCCACAAGGGAAAACTTTCAGTCCCATAAGTGTTGATTCTGCACCAGTCACATCAGGAACATTCATATTCTCCTTAAAGCTGGACTGGATTTTTCACACCTTTGAAACTCAGTCTAAACGCGGTTTTACTAACCAGCCAAGCCAAGGAGTGGTGGGGGAGTCCCCACCTGCCAAAGTCTATGTCAAAGACAGGGCACTCTCTCCAAGAGATGGACTTTAACACACTTAAGGATTTAATGACTTTATACATGTTGGCCATCCTGTGTTAGTGTTGGAGATATTTAATAGTAATAATTACTGAAGTTACATAATGTGCCCTGCAGCTGTGTCTCAGTAGCTGGTTGTGTTTCTGTTGTGTGTCACTTGTGGTAAATCAGAATCAGAATCAGCTTTATTGGTCAGGTGTGTTGAACACATAAGGAATTTGACTCTGGTACAGTGGCTCTCACTGCATATGTACAATGCTCTTCTGTAAGGCAACAAGTACACAAGTAAACAGGATAAGACTGGGAGAACAAAAAAAGAAAAAGAATGTGCAAACAAGAAAAAGAAATGCGCATTAGGAAAAGAACTTATACACACACAGTTTAGATTGAGTTTTTTTTTTTCAGATAGATGTACACATAAGTATATTTACAAGGTATTGCACTGCGGGTTGTCTTTCATGGGTTAAGTATTCATCAGTGTGATGGCCTGAGGGAAAAAACTGTCCTTGCGTTTGGTTGTTTTGGCCTGCAGGGGTTCCAACAGTTTGTGCCAAGGATGTGAGGGGTCTGCAGAAATCTTCTCCGCCCTCCTTTTTGACCCATGAGGTGTACAGATCCTCCATGGAGGGCAGGCTCGCAGCAATGATTCTTTCTGCAGTCCTCACTCCCTTTGCTATCTTCCTCCCTCTCAAACTACCTTTCTGATCTAATCTGGGCTAGCCATCTTATTTGACCTTGAGCAGAACCATGAGACAAAGCTACTGTTCATGTATTTGCTTCTTATTGTGATTATACATTACAAAAGACATCCTGTGTTGTCCTGGTTCCCAAAATACCTTCGAGTTGAATCACTGCTCTTTGCTAACTTATAAAACAGCACACAATATTAAAAAAATCAATTCTTCTACTGTTGTAAACTTTAATTTCAAATGTTCCACCACAAGATTAAATATTTCTAATACATTCATCCCTCAAGCTTTCAGAAAAAGCTCTGACTCTTATTTGACCAAGTTTCTCTGATTAAAAGAGGTTGTTACATTTTACTGCAGTAAATATCACTTTAATTTCAAATGTTTGTACAGGTTTTACCCAGAATCAATTACAAGCTTTCTGTAGATCATGTGTTTCTGTTAGGTATTTCTTTCTAATTGCATAACTATCCAGGAAAATTCTGGTGGTTCAAGACAAGGCAGTTTGTCAGACTGTGTGTCGGACGCGGTGGTCTGCAGCACGGGGGCGCCCCAGGGGACGGTGCTTTCCCCCTTTCTGTTCACCCTCTACATGTCGGACTTCAC